GATCCCATTAGAATGGGGAAGCAATTAGAACTAATAAAGATGAATGCACAGTGCTCAGTGCGTGTGGAATAACAAGCAGCCGACAAAGGGACTCCAGAGAGCCTGCTCTAATCCAAGCGCCCGGCGGCCAGCAGAGGGGAAACGGCTCTGTTCAGCTGCTCAAAGCCCCTATGTCCCGCACATTCTGATCACGGCCAGCAAATGGCGTGAGTTGGGTCTCGGAGATGGGGGTTGGGGGCCCCCCGCCCTGGCCCTGGCCTGGCCTCTTGGGGATTGAGATGGGCTGTCGGCAGCCCCTTGGCAACAGCCATTCAGATCAGCGTCCTGGCTCCTGGCCAGCCTCTCACTTGCCCCTCGCACTGGGCCTCATTGTGTCCAGGTGGCAAATGCCTTCTCACCAACTCTCCTTCGAGGTTTAGAGGGGAGTAGGACAGTGCTGGAGAGAAAAGGGGGTGAATGAGTAGGGGGCCCCCTGCCCCCTGCATCTCTCCCCACCCCCTCTGACCAGGGCCTGCTCCTCCTCCGGGTTTGGTGTTATGTTACAGACACTGCTGGTGAGTCACAGGCAGCCAAACACAGAAGTACTGTTGCTTACACAATTACTCTTCAAACAGTAACAAACAATTTTCATTACCCAAGTCAGATCGAATCAACTGCCTGGCCATCCTACCTCAATCCCAGCCACACAAACAGGACCCAAAGCTTTGCACTCTGTCCACTCTGCTCTGACAAAACTGGGCTTCATTTTGCCCCAGACTAGGGATATGGGACAAAGCACTTCCTCTGATCTCTTTTTTGAGTGGGATCAGCTGCACGGCTGTCAAGACCGTCAGGAGAAATAGAGAAGAAACAAGCACCTATACAGTTTGGGGCCCCCTCAGATCTGGGGTGAGATGTTACTCAGCACCTGTGTGAAGAAAGCATTCAAGAGTTTGGAGGTCTCTATGGCCAAGTCTAAAAGGAATCCAGCAAGATAACCCTGGCTCCCTACCAAAGTACTCACTGGACTCAGATGGAGTGTCAGTTCTTGACATTTCTTTATTTAATCTTTTTTGGCCAGACGGTTTTTTCAACCAAGAATGTGTAAGCTCATTCCGAAATGTCTGTACAAGAGGCCAGTCACACTCATTACCGGGCTTTTTCTACCACTTCTCTTTTTAAAAAGTCTGTAACATTTTGTATTTGTTTCTTAACAGTAGAGCACTTTAAAAGCATTTTTACATTTATAATCTTATTTGAACTTTAAAATAACCCTTTAGGGATTGCAAAGCAAGGGTTGTCAGACCTAAAGATGAGGAAACAGTGGCTGAGAGAGGTTCAGTGTCCTGTGAAAGATCACAGAATAAGTAATGACCTGGTTCAGTGCTTTGTCCTAGGATAACTTTTCCACACCTCCACAGTGCTAGACATTCCAGGATAGTTCAGCCTGCAGTTCTGCTTTTCCATTGTGTAACTCTCTTATCCCTTCCACATACTAAACTGTACTAAGCACTGGGGGCTTTCAAAGACTCTAGGCCACAAGAGATCCTCCCTCAAAAAGGTTTCAATCTAATAGTCATCAAAGTATTTGTTTTGCCATCCCCCCGACCAAAGAAACATACCTTTCCTCCCTTTTAATAGCTTAGGTAAAAACTGTTTCAAATCTGCCTGTCCAGTACACGATAGGCACAACCAAAATGAGAAAAGTAATTGTTTAGGTCCCTTCCAATATAATATTGCAGCATCTAGGAACTGGCAAGTGGTAAAGCAAAGCCACTCACCTTTGATACTCCTCACCACCTTCCGCCTGTCCAGTACACGATAGGCACAACCAAAATGAGAAAAGTAATTGTTTAGGTCCCTTCCAGTATAATATTGCAGCATCTAGGAACTGGCAAGTGGTAAAGCAAAGTCCACTCACCTTTGATACTCCTCACCACCTTCTATACCTAAAAGCCTGTTAATTTAATTTTTTAAAAATTATTTTTATAATTTTGAGGTATAACTTATATACTGTGAAATACATATATATTAAGTGTATAGTTTGATAAGTTTTGACAAATCTATACCTACACCCAAATCAACATACAGAGCATTTCTATCACCACAGAAACTTCCTGGGTACCACTTTCCTGTTAACCCCACCCCAAGCCTCCACTGTTCTAATCCCTATCACCAGATTAGTTTAACCTGCCTTGAACATCAGATAATGGAATCATATTGTATGTATAATCTTTTGTATCTTTCTTCTTTCACTCAACCTATCTGCCAGACTCATCCATGTTGTACTAGTAGTTTGTTCTTTCTTATGAGTAGTATTATCTTATTCATTCAGTTTTAAAAATCCATCCCTATTACTATTAATTTATCCCTCTTCTTTCCATTCATTACATCTGCTGCATGATCCGTTACATGCATATTATCTCCTGCATATCTCCTTGGCAATGCTAGCAGTGAAAAATATATATAAGTGGACTATTTTATCTCTAACACTGCCCTTCTAGTCGGGGTGACTTTCATCAATTTCAGGAGAAACAGATAACCAGGCAGCCCAGCATAGTGGTCATGGGTACATTTTCTGCCTAGCACTTAACAGAAGGCTGGTTTGGGGCAGGTGGTTTAACCTCTCTGTGACTAAGTCGGGGTGACTTTCATCAATTTCAGGAGAAACAGATAACCAGGCAGCCCAGCATAGTGGTTATGGGTACATTTTCTGCCTAGCACTTAACAGAAGGCTGGTTTGGGGCAGGTGGTTTAACCTCTCTGTGACTGTTTTCCCATTTGCAAAATGAGGATAATAACACCTTCCTAATAGGGATTTGTGAGGACTAAATTATATTGTACATAAAATGTTTGGCACAATGGAAACTAATAATAGCCTCAAGCTAGACTATAATAAACATCTTTCTGCTTCATACACACATTCAGTTTTTGTAAGTAATATAATATAAATGAGTATATATTTTTGAACGTTTTCAAAAGGAAGATTTCATGTTTACATCTAGAAAAGTCTGTCAGATATTTATTTAAAATAACTGTTATTTCCCAAGGAAAAAAAGCAAAGCCTTCCCTCCTTTGTCCATTGACAATTTATACTGAGTGCCAACTATGAGAGGCTCTTTTAAAAAGTTAAAGATACAGCCCTAGCTTTTAGGATGTGTGGTTTGGGAAGGGCAAAAAGCACAAAAATAATTATAATACAAAACAAAGTATGGTAACTAATAATAATAATTAACACCTATTAATGTAGTGGTTAAGAGCATGGTCTCTGGAATGATACTATGTGGGTTCAAATCCCAGCCGTGTGAAGTTGGACAACTTACTTAACCTCTTACCTGTAAAATGAAGATAATACCACTTACCTAGTAGGGCTACAGCATTAGCACATTAAAAATATGCAATAATTAATAGCCAACATTTATTAAATACTCAGTATGTGCCAAGCACTGTGTTAAATGCTTATAAATGAAGTGCATTACTTCACATAATCTCCATAACACTATTACTACTATTATACCCATTCTACTGATAAGGCAACTGCAGGGCAGGGAGTTTAGGTAACTTGCCCAAGATTACATATCTGATAAATAGCAAATGTCATAGGAAAGACACAATCACCTATAAAATAGGCATGATGATAATAGCACTTACCTTAATGAGAATCAAACAAATTAATATTTGAAAGGTGCTTAGAACAGAGCCTAGCACATAATAAGGCCTATATATGTGGCTATTAAATAAATACAAATTGTTATGGTGATTCAGAGGCGACAGGAAATAACTTCCATGCTTGGTGATTAAGGAAGGCTTTGGAAAGTTGATGTCTAAGCTGTGCCCTGACTAATGGATGGGATTCCGAAAGATGGAGGTGATGGAGAGAGCATTTCAGACAGAAAAAGAGGGAAGGAAGGAAGGGAAAAAAGAAAGAAAGAAGGAAAGAAAGAAAATAAGAAGGAAAGAAAGAAGAAAAGACAGAAAGAATTAAGGAAAGAAAAAGAAGGAAGGAAGGGAAGGAAGAAACAAGGAAAGAAAAAGGCAAGAAGTGGGAGAAAGCTGAGAGTGTAAAAAGAAAACAGAAGTAAAGTTTGACTAGGGCAAAAAAATCTCCCTTTTCCTGCATCCAGTCACTGTCACTGCCAGCTATACTTCCTCAATGTATCTCATTTTCCTCTCACCCCTGTAGAATCTGCTGTCCTGACCCCTTCATCATAATCATGTATTGAACAATAATTATTGAGTGCCTCTATGTACTCTAGGCACTGTGGACACACCCCAGAGAATAGGCCAGGTCCCAGTTCCTATTTTGCACCATAATAATCCTCCAAACTGGATTCCCATCCTTTGGCTGGTACCACTCCAATCTATCCTCCAAATGCCACCAGAGAGACTATAAAGACACAGATCTGGCCCAGACACTCCCTTGCCTAAATCTCCCTGTACTACAAGGTACTTCAAAAAGTTCATGGAAAGATTTGTATATTCTTTTAATTCTACTTTTCCATGAAGTACCTTTGTATTTTCCTATTGTGTCCAAATAAATTTCAATCTCCTTAGCATCCTGTTCAAGGTCCTTCACTAACTGGCTTGCACAGCGTATCTCCCAGCCTTCACCTCCACATACTCTGCACTTGAGCCACAGTAAATCACTCAAAATTCCAGATACACACACTTATCAACAAGCACTTGATGAAAATACGTGGATAGAACTCCATCCCTATTTCATCCCTCGTACATTGAAACATTACCCACTCTGCATGTCTTAGATGTGAAAGCCCTAGTTACATTGTTCCCCCGCTCTCAAGCTTTCCGAGCCTAAAAAGCAGCACAGGGTTCACACTTTCCCACAGCCCCTTCTACCTACAGAAACCCGCGAAAATCCCAACACAGAGGGATGCGGAAGAGGCGGGGCTTCGCACGGCACCGGCGCCGCCATCTTGGCTGAGGTGGCCGGAAGTGGCTGGGGCACTGGCGCGGACTGCGGCTGCGCGGCTGCGGCACCGCAGATTTTGGGCGCCGGCTGTGTTGTGTTTGCGGTTCTGACTCCCATGCGGTGCAGCCCAGCAGCCACAAAATCCCCTCTGCCATCGCGCCTAGTCCTCCCGCCGCCCCAGCCGCTGTCCAAACTCTCCGCCTGGGTTTGCGCAGCGGCTCACACACCCCTCGGCCCGTGTACGTGCTTTGCACCTGTCTGCCTGAAAACATGTTGCAGGAACCCCAGAGCGGGGGTCTCCCAGTCCCTCAGGCCGAGGGGGAGAAGGATGGCGGCCATGAAGGTGAGACCCAGGCCCTGACGGTCTCGCAGGAGGCTCTGAGGCCCCTCCTGCAGGAGAGCACCAAGGAGGACCTTGCCGCTGTGAGGGAGGAGGGGGCTGCGGCGTCCGCCCCCACCCGGAAAGGTGCGAGGGCCTCGGCAGCCAAAGCCTTGACACGGCGCAGGGCCTCCCGCCGTCTGAATCGAACGGTGGCCGAGATGGTGCAGTTCCTCCTGGTGAAAGACAAGAAGAAGAGTCCTATCACACGCTTCGAGGTGGTGAAATACGTTATCGGAGACCTGAAGGATTTGTTCCCAGAGATCATCGCAGGGGCCGCAGAGCATCTGCGGTATGTCTTTGGTTTCGAGCTGAAACAGCTTGACCGCAAGCACCACACTTACATCCTCATCAACAAGCTAAAACCTCTTGAGGAGGAGGAGGAGGAAGATCTGGGAGATGGCCCCAGATTGGGTCTCTTAATGATGATTTTGGGCCTTATCTACATGAAAGGTAATAGCGCCAGGGAGGCCCAGGTATGGGAGATGCTGCGTCGGTTGGGGGTGCATCCCTCAAAGTATCACTTCCTCTTTGGGTACCCGAAGAGGCTTATTATGGAAGATTTTGTGCAGCTGCGATACCTGAATTACAGGCGAGTGCCTTCCACCAGTCCACCAGAATATGAATTCTCTTGGGGTCCCCGAAGCAACCTGGAAATCAGCAAGATGAAAGTCCTGGGGTTCGTGGCCAAGCTTCATAAGAAAGAACCCCAGCACTGGCCAGCGCAGTACCGTGAGGCCCTGGCGGATGAGGCCGACAGGGCCAGAGCTGAGGCCAGTATGAGGGCTAGGACCAGGGGCAGGGCCAGGGCCAGTGCTAGAGCCAGCCTCCGCCGCTGGTGAGGGATGGTGGAAAGGTGGCCAGCGCGACCCCGTGGGTATGGAAGCTACTGTCTTGAGTCTTATGTAGTACAGCGAGGGTCGTTATTTCTGTAGAAATTGTGTAACTTTAGGATTTAGGTTTTGTATATTGTTACGTTTTGTCACATTTAATATACTGTTAAATTGCTGTTTATAAATTGTATTGCTCTACTTTTTTCTGTAGGATTTTGTTATAGTGTTGCTGGTTTTGTAAATGGATTGAAAAACTTTGCATTTTATTCTGTGATCTTGAACAGGTTATGCAGGACTGTAAATGTTTTGAAGGAACTCAGCAGTATGGTGATCTGGTAGCAGGAAAAAAAATAGCTAATTGGTGTCTAGCCTCCCAACACTTTTTGTCTATTGTATTAAAAGAAAAAAAACCTGACTGACATGTACCTGTGTTTGCTTAGTTATTATATCTAGAGAAAAAGTGCAATAAATTAGAAGTATATCCTGGTACACTTAATAAATTAAGCATTTGTCGAGCTTCTTGTTTTTTTGTGATGCGCTGTATTGGGCGTTTGGGGATAAAACACAGAACAACATGAAAGCCCTACTTCTTTCAGAATTGAAGAATAAATAAGACAAGTTACAGTGCACCTAACCCTTTATAGCTGCGGTGATCGAGTGAGGTTTGCTTGAGATTGCCTTTAGTCAGACTTTGGGGGAGGGGGAAAAGATGAGGCAGGTGGAGGGAAGGGGAAGGAATAGAGGAAGATGGAGGTGGGGAAGCTGGGAGTTGGGGATAGTATTAAAAATTCCTTAAGATCACAAGTGCTCCTTAATAACATGGGAAGAAAACTTAATACACATGGTAGATCTGGAAAATACCTTACATTTCCCAATGCTCTTGTTCTAGGGTAATTTGTTACAGTGCACAGTGATGGTGACTTAGCATTTTGGCCCTCTCCATCTCCCTTCTCTCAGCCTCTCTACAGGTTCCCTCCTCTACCAAAGCCCTCAGAGACCAAGCAGTATAACAAACAAAAATACTGAGTGTCTGCGACCTCACTATGTGCCAACAACTTTGCTGGGTACCAAGGTTGTTAGAATGGGAAGACTGGCTTTGCCCTCAAGGAGCAGTGAGGGTGATAATTTCTCACATTTTTATTTTCTCACAGTGGCTGAGAGGTCAGCAGTGTATGCACCTGAGGGTCAGGTTACTTGGTAATTTGCCTAAGGTCGCTTTGTCAAAGATAGTACCAAGACTAGAACCCAAGTCTCTTGCCCCCCCATCCAGTGTGTTTCATTCTAGCACATTGTTCCCCATTCTTGGCCTTCTATATGTTGAGTGTAATTTTACTTATTACAACTCCAAGAAACAAGTGAGGCATGTGTAATATCTCTAGTTGCCCCTGCAGTCCTTATGGGAGTGAGGTAGAGTAGAAGTACTCCCCATTTTACCAATGACAGATAGCTTTGCTCAAGGTCAAACATGTAGTACATGGCAAAGACAGGATTAACAGTACCATTTACTAAACATTACTATAGGCAAAAGCATTTTTTCTCTACCTTTCACATTCATGTTGCAATGCAGATATTCCTAAATACCTCAGTTTTACAAATACTAATAATAGTAATACTTGCCGTGTATTTAATATCTAATATGAGCCACCTTTTTTATGTTATACATATGTTTTAATGATTTTTCTAACAGTCTTACTGATAGATCGTACCTGTTCCATTTTTCACTAAGGAAACAGACTCAGAGAAGCTGTAAAGGTCTCACAAATAGCCGATGACAGAATAAGGATGGGAGCTGAAGTCTGAGTCAAAAGTCTGGACTTTTCACTATTTTACATTTCCTTCTTGGGAGTCCTTCCAGACTTGGGTCATCTGTCTCCTGACTCATCTTCTTTCTTCAGACACCACTGTCTCTCTGGAGATACAAACAAGGGTTCTATAGCCAGGATAATTAAGATGCTGGCTTGCAAAAGGGTAAAAATGAGGCTAAAACAAAATTGGGGAATTATCTGTGAATACTGATTCCAGCTCTACCTACTCTGTCCCCAGTCTTCTCAGAGGGCTAACTACATGTAGAATGTGTGTTTTTGCTCAACCTTAGCCTATTTTGCCCTTATAGGCTACGTGTCCTCAGTCTTTAGTCTGCCCTCTCCACTAAGCCTCGAATTAGTCTTTTATGCCATGAAACAATCAAATAACATTTGTGAACCTGCAAATATTCCCAGTGTTGTTTCCAGATGGTACAAAGGGCTGGCAGAACTCGTACCCTGGCCTCAGGATGAAAGACCTCACAGATGCCATCATCAACTTTTCAGAAGTACTGAGAGTGTGGCCTCTGGGCCCATGTGTGGAGCAGACATTGGCCATGGTAAGGGCAAGAGATGAATTCTCTTGTTGCTTATGGTCATTCACACGAGGGAAAAGGAAGGCCTGGACCCGCCTGTCTCCTTCCCCTTCAGACATGAACATAGAACTAGATCTTCCTGGGTAAAAACACTGTGTGTGTTTGGGGTGGGGAAGATTTGGTTGAGGATGATGGCAGATGGATTACTCCAAATCATACTTATTTATGACTAGAAAGCAAAGCCAGTGAAGGAAATTCCCTTGAAAGCTGTGAATCATGTCTTGGACAATGGGAAGGTCTCAGTTCAGCCACAGACTGCAGGATCTTGACACTTACCAGAGTTGGGACTTTTGACCCATTGCAACTTGGAGAATGGGTGTTTGGACACAGACTGAGAATGATTATAGTCCCATCATCCAGCAGGCACATAGTGCTCCGGAGGTGGCAGCTCATTTGCAGTCCCTGCAAATCAGGCTTCCATTCACAGGCTCAATCACAGTTTCCACTTGAGGTAATTATGCTTCATGCCTTGGCTGTGGTGGCAATTGATACTTGTGCAAATTATTTCTCAAATTGTGCAGCCCAGCAGAGATGGCAACAATTACTTCCCAGCGAAACATAGTGTACTGACTAGGGAAGTTAGGTATTCTGAAAATTGTCCTAATCAAGGCCTTTTAAAAGTCATGACTGTGACCTTGAACAAGGAACTTCAATCTGAGGACTGAAGACCTAGAAAAGAGTTTAGTGGATGATTAGAGTAGAGGTCAGGTACAGTCCACACCCTACACCCCATCCTACCAGCTGATTGCATACTCTGTCAGTGCCCGAGCCAGTCATGACATTAACAGTAGCAGCCAGTATTTATTAAGCCTTATGTGCCGGACATGGTGCTGAGTGTGATAACCACACATTGTCTCATGCATCTGCACAAAAACCCTATGAGGCAGGTTCCACATTTGCCAACATTGAGATACCATAGGAAACCACAAGGAAAAATAACTTCTTCTATTCTTTCAATGCACAAATTCAATGGCTCAGCCAAGCTCATGACATAACTAGTGAGTAGCAGATCCAGAACTTGAACCTCCAGGTTTTTGTTGGTATTTCACCCTGCTGGATCCCAATCAACCTCCCTCCCATTGGAAACACGGGGCTGAGAGGGAAGGAAGGAAACCTCTGGCACTGCTCTTTATGTCATAACCTAGAGCCTCCAGGCTGGAGGGTAGAGGCCGTGAGGAGGGAAAGAGACAGTTGGCTTCTCTGGCTGTAGGGACCCTCGCTGGGAAAAGAGCCCATTTTCGAGGGATGATACCTCTGAGACATCTCCCAGACCTGCAGCAGTCTCCCTGTGGTCCTTGTGGTGAAGGAATCAGTGCATGGGAAACAGCAGCCCCAGTCTAAGAAAGCCTCGAGAAGCCTGCAGGTATCGAGCACTGTGAAGGACAGCCACACGCCCAAACCATAAAGATCGAGGACTAGGCCTCCAGAAATGGAAAGCTCCTGGCCCCTGGAGCAGACGATCTGCATTCCAATCCCCCTCTCTGCCACATGATAGCAATGTGGCTTCAGCTGAGTTACCTAACGTCTCTGAGCTTTGGTTTTATCTTTAAAACAGAGATAATGTCACCTACCTCAAAACCCTGTGAAGACTGAATGAGGGAATTGTTAACACACCTACCACATTATCTGATCCATGGTAACTATTGTTATTATAAAATGTATTCACTCATTCAATGAATATTTATTGAGCATCTTCTACAAGCCAGGCATATATATATATATATATATATATATATATATATGTGGTGAGATTACAGAAGAAAACAAAATAGACAAAAATCCTTGCCCTCATAGAGCTTATATACTAGTATAAGGAGATAATAAAGTATAAGATATAGCATGTGGGTGATGATATATGTTGTAAGGAAAAATGGAGCATGAAAGGGGGAAAGAGTTCTGGGAGGATGTACAATTTTAAATAGCTTGGTCAGGGAAAGCCTCACTGAGAAGTGATATTTGAGTCACAAAGGAAGTTGATAAGCAGGGGGCCCAGAAACTGCCTGGGGGAACTGGGGGGGGGGGGGCTGGCAAAGGAAACAGCAAGGATGAAGGCCCAGGGGGGGAGCAGGCCAAGCATGTTCTGAGAATAGCTCCAGCAAGCAGAGGTAGTGGAGGGGGAAGGGGTCAGTAGAAGGAGATGCACTCCTTATCCTGATGGAGCTGGCAGAGCTGGCAGAGCTGGCACATGTAACAAGAATGAACACAGATCTGCACCGACTGCAAGTCCAGTGCTGACCCTGAGAGTTCCTATAGGGGCGCCTTAGGCAGTGCAGAGCCTTCCCCTAAGCCCTGAAGGGGAAGGAAAAGAAAAGATTCTTTATTTATGGCTTTTGTTTTTCTAATTACAAATGCTTATAGTGGAAAAATTGGAGGGTTTCATAAAAGTATAAAGAAGAAAATGAATTCTCTACAATACCGGCACCCGGAGGCAACCCTGGTTGAAAGTGTGGTATGGTTTTCTATCTATCTCTATTGTATCTTGTTTCACTTGCCTAGGGTACAAACAATTTGTTGCTACTTCAACAGTGAGTTATAATGACACTGAGCCCCACCCCATGTGATATTTCCCTGAAATATTTCTGAGAATTCCCAATGGGGCATTTCACATGGTGTCACAAACCCACCTGTCCATTGCAGTCATGAGTAGGGATCACGGAGGCCCATGAAAGGACCCTCTGCTGGGGATGCTCCTTGCCAGGGCCCCTCCAACCTCCTCAGGAAGGCTGCTTGTCTCTGCTTTCTATCTCTTGCAGCAACTTCAGCTGAAAATAGCCACCTCCATGGGGACCAGTCCAGGCTCCCTCCCTCCACAATTTCTCTCCTCAAACCTCAGGGAAAAAGAAGAAAAGAAAAGGCAACAATCCACATTGCTGAACCAGAACAGTTAACATCTGTATTCAGGCTGACAGTAACTAAACAGTTCTAGGTTTGTGTTGATTTTCCCAAAACAAAGCAAAAGTCTGCCCCAGGGGTGAATTAAATCCTCTGCCGCTAGCAAACTGCTAGCAACTGGAGCTTCCTCCCCCAACTTTTCTCACCTCCTCATCCTGTTTTCAAAACCATAGGGTGCACCTCAGCCAGGGTTGTTGTTTAATGTTAAAGATGGCTAGGTTTAGG